AAGATCTTCTCCACATCAGCCACCCACCTTTGGGCTCCTTCGGGATTGAACCTACCCTCAAACTTTGGAGGATCATGCCTAGTGAAGGCAGACAACCCTCGATACTCAGCCAACTCTCTACCTTGATTGTGCACCATGGCTTCCAGAATCTGAGCCATGCGTTCCATTAGGTCATTAGTGCCTCTAGCTCCTCTACCTCTACCTCTACCTCTACTAGACATAATCTAAGCTTCAAAATTTAACAGTCACAATCCAGCGCATCAAATCAGTAATACATTTATAATTCAGGCAAACAAAACAACCAACACTTATCTTGGACGCTTCAGCCCGATACCCCAGTCCGATTCGGATGAACTGCTCTGATACCAAAATTGTAACACCTTAAATTTAATTTCAATTAAATAATAATTTCACAAATCGGATAATTAAATTTTTCATAAAAGATTTCGAAATAAGTGAAGGGTTACAAATTAATATCAAATAACTGCTACAGGACTAGTTCAATTACAACAATTTCAAAATAAAATCTAAGTCCTATAGCAGTCCATCCGTCCCTTCACTGAGTCCGGTGTTGATCGTCTTGATTACCTGAAAAATGAATGTAAGGGTGAGTACTCTATACTACCCAAAACACACATTTAACATAGAGTCTCACCTCCAGAACCTTCCTAATACATTCAACAAACACAATCACAGGCAGCAATTCACATTCATAAGTACAAAACACAAATTCATGCATACGCATACCAGCCACACTCACTATAGTACTGTGATCACAGATTTACACCATGAATGATCGCTGGTTACCCCCGCCTCACAGATACCACATGGGTAGTCACGAGTCGCTCAACAAAGATAGTAGTCAAAGGTCTAGTCAGGAAGAGAGTGTGTGGCCTGTGGTGCACCCGTTCCGCAGTCAGTGTCACCACCACTCCCTCTTCCCCAAGGTATTTCTACCGTCCTCATCTCCCACATCCCAGTGTATCGTTGAACCATTCATAGCACATTACGACGGTGCTAACACGCCTATTCACACATATTTCATTCACACATGCAATAGTCATGCTTACACAGCACACATGGCACTCAAATACACGGCACTAGGCCCACATTTATTCACAATATCATTAATTCACCAATCAATGGCATTCTATCACACACAATCACCCTCATGGGGTCCAATTATTCTATCACACATCACATTGCCTATCAATTTCCATCAAACACAATTTCTATTTTCTATCTGAGACACATTGCATTAATCATCAAAACACACAAGAACTACAATACATTGAGATAGGGTAGAGTCTTCCCTTACCTTGGATTGAAGACCCACACTTGAATTTAACCACAGACTTGCTCCCTACACAAATTGTGGCCTAAAACACATGGAAAAACTCTATGAGAACCCAAGGAAACCTAGAAACAGAGAAAAGGGGATGAAAACCGAAACCCTAACCATTAAAACTTACCTCCAAGTGTTCCCTACACAGATTCAACCTTCAATCAAGCTCCCGAACGACTTTAGAGGCAATTAGTCGGTGGAATAGGGCTTTGGGAACAAGAGGATCAAAGCAATTTTGAAGGGAGAGGGAGAAATAACTCTCCCCGAACCCTAATCCCCTTTAAATCCTTTTCTGGTCGGGACACTCTGACATGCTTTCTCGCTACAGCGACAAAACCAGAGAAAACTGCACTCTGATTTCTGCAGAATCTCGCTACAACGAGACCCTCGCGCTACAGCGAGACTGCACCCAGAATTACACCTCAAATTGTCGCTCTGTCGCTGTAGCGAGACGTCTCTCGCTACAGCGAGAAGGCGACAGTTTTGGTCCTTCCTCCTAGGGCCCTCTCGCTACAGTGAGAATCATCTCGCTGCAGCGAGAACAGCCCAGTATCTCACCCTGTACTTAGGCACTTAGCCCATTTCAGCCCAACCAGTCATGCATACACACATATATATACACATACATATTCACGACATATATCTAAAAATACACACATGAATATACATTTAGATTTATATAATTATCAATAATTAATATTATAAAAATTTGGGACGTTACAATTTTTAATAGATGATAATTTAAAGCAATTTATAGTCACTCTTATTATATATAATTAGAAATTTGAGCTAACAATATATAATAAAAGATTTTTTTATAAATGTGTTTTTTTAATTCAAACTGCATTTCATAAAAGTAATTTTTTTACCAAATTTTTTATTAAAAATATAATTTAACAATCTATAATAAAAGTAATAATCTTGTAAGTGTACTTTTTTAATATTAATTATAAAAAAAATAATTCTTGTGACATTACTCAATAATTATTTTTTTATTTTTGAACTAATTAAGTATTTTCTATTACAATAAAAGAATATTCTAATATAATATATCTATCAATTCTAATAAAACATTAAAATAAGAGAAACATATGAAATATATATTATGTTAAGCTAATTAATAAAACAATTTAAATATACAAATTTGTCTTTTATTATAAATTTAATTTAACAACATATATTATAAACTAATAATATTGTAAGTTTAATTTTTTTAATTCAAAATATATTTTAGTGTTTGAAGTATATAATAAAATATAGATTATATTAAAATAAAATAGTAATTTTAATTCATAAATTATAAAAAATATTATAATTAATTTTAATAACAAAAATTTAAGTTAATTTATAATATAAATATTTATGTTGTCGTTTGTAACATAATATAACCATCAATACTAATAAATATTATTTAAATACAATTCAAACATAATAAGTATGAATAAAATATAATTTTAATTCATAAATTATACGTTTTAAATTTTAATGTACAGAGTAATAAGTAAGTGGAGTCAATGCAAACGACTTTATACATTCTAAATTTTAATATATAAAGTAATAAGTAGATGAAATTACGGTTCAAAATTTAATACACTCAGTAATAAAGTAGATGTAGTCAATTTTACATATATATATATATATATATATATATATATTTGAGAATCTATGTTATTCCATATTAAACCACTGAATTAGACTGATTTTATGATCATCTCAAAAATCTACCCACTAACCCTACTTTAACTATATATATATAGATTTAAAAATCTATGTTATTCCATGTTAAATCACTGAATTAGACCGATTTTATGATCATCCTAAAAATCTACCCACTAACCCTACTTTAACTCTGAAAGCTTTGACCATACTTGACTTGATAATTAGATATTGCAACTAATGTACTGTTATTGAATATTTATTAAGAGTTAATGCTTTGATTAATCACTGAAAGTTACAACTTGTTAAAAATAGACCTTTCTTCCAAAAAAGTTGTGCCTAATAAATAACTTTTCCTGCTCATAATCACAACCATAATCATAAATTGACTACAACATCCAAAAAAGGAGTGAAGATCAGTTTACATGTCTCTTCCACTTTTGCAGCTCTTTATTATATAGCTGTGGCCATTATTATGAAAATTAGATCAAACCAGTTCGTCTATTCATTTTAATTGTGAACCAGAACTATAACATCTCTAGTCAAGCTCATTTGCTCAGTGACTCAATAATTGGTCTCTAATCCACTCAATTTTATGATGATCATCAGAGAGCATAGCCACTATCCTTGTTGTAAGTCCGAAAGGTTTGAACAACTTGCACTTGCTTTGCTAATATGTTAAACATTTGTTACACACAATAAGTTAAACAAAATTCATACAATATATATAAACATTACTTTGTATATATATATATATATATATATATATATATATATATATATATATAACACTACGGTTCTATCATTGTTAAGTCAATAATATTTTCATTGATTACGTGCTCAGTAGCTAATTTTAAAAATATGGTAAAGTATAATTATTAATTAGCTTCGTAATTAGATATTACAACTACCGAACTGTTATTGATTATTATTAAGAGTTAACAAGCAGTTTAATCTTTAAAAGTGAGAACTTGTTAAAACAAACCTTCCTTTCAAGAAGAAACAGACTTTTTTCTGAAAGATAAAAATAAAAAAGAAAATATTTTTACTTACAAGTTGTACCTAATTAATAATTTTTCGTACTAGTAATCACTACAATCTTATCTTCTAAAAAATTTAAGAAAAAATTAGTATTTTTGTCGTCAAATTTAAAAGTCAATTTCAATTATTTTTTAGCTTTATTTTGAATCATTTTAATCTTTTAATTTATATAAATATTTCAAATAAGTTACTTTTTATTAAAAATATTAATAAAATTAATATTTTTTCTTTTCCTGTCATGTATATTATTAATCTTCTTTCCTCAAATTTTCAGTTTAGGGTTTAGAGTTTTCAGCTTATCTCTTCTTTTTCTTCCTCTTCCTTCTTTCTCAAATCAAATCAAGCACTTTCAATATCACCAACCTCGTCGTCAATTGCTCTTACCATCACCACCACCTCCTCTTCTACTATTGTCGTACTCCTCCTCCAACACATGCCACTGCAACCCTGAGAGCGGTCCTATTGCCACAAATATACAAGAGAATTCTTCAGAGCGATGCAATATTTAAGGCAGCAGAGGAAGGAGAGGAGGTAAGTGGTGGGAGCATCTACATGACAATAAGGTTAGTAGTGTAGAGAATGTTAGGAAAAGAAGAAAAGAGGAGGAAGAAAATGAAGATGAAGAAATGAAATTGTTTGAATAGTACATGTGATCCAAAAAGACAAGATATTGATGTAATTAATGTTTTTGACAAAAAGAAAATATTTATTTAAAATATTTTTTAAAGTTAGAGAACTAAAATAAAGTTAAGAATGGAATCAAAATTAATCTCTAAGTTAAAGAACATAATCACTAATTTTGCAAAAATTTAATTCAAAATCATTTAGTGAACAAGTTTGATACCCATCCGAGCGATGAGTGCTGATATGAGAAACATTAATAACGCCCCCAAACAAAACTATGTTTTGCGTAAAATTGAATGTCAAGATGCATCCTTAGACACATTTACAATGTTGGGATTTAACGAGTTTTTTTTTTTTTTTTCTATTATTGATCCACATTTGTCCCTCCCAAAATCCTGAAGTATAAAATTATATCTGGCTCAAATAAAAAGTTAAAAAAAAACAGAGATGGTATCACATTCACATGTCAGGCAATGACGTAACACCAAAATGATGGACAAAGTAAAAAGATTCGCGGGAGGTGAAGGGCAGTTTCAAGCTAGAAACTGCAAAATCTGTAAGCTTGGGGCCCCAAGCTTTTTGGCTGAACCCAAATCACCTATTCTCATTTCCTGTCTGATTCCTCCCCTTGCAACAAAAAACTGACACATAAGGCATAACAATCACTAAATTATGAGTTTCAATTCTAATTTAATGAACCCCCACTCATAATTTTCAATTAATAATAAATAGTGTTAAGAAGAATGTGATAAAGAACTTGCTACTTCTCATTTTTAATTGAAGGGCAAGGAAGAGGCATCATTTCAAGCCATTTTGGTCAAACTTGCATTTTCAAGAAGGGCCAAAAAAATTCTTTTTTCTTTCTCTTTTTTGCATAATTAAGATGATCTTGCAACAAAATCAATGATGGTCAAGCTGATATCTCTTCTCCAAAACTTGGTTCAAAGAATCCTAATTCTTTTATCAATTCTTGTGTCTTGATGCTTGAGCTTGAAGATTTTGGTTATCTTCCAAGAGTCTATCATATTCAAGTAGTAGGTCTGCGGCTTGCTTTTGGAGGGAAGTAACATGAGCTTCAGCAGTCTCAACCCTTTTGTCCTTCTCTTCAGATTCTAACTTCACCTTTTTCAAACTTCCTGAAACAGCTGAAATTTGTTCCTTCAGCTGCTTTATCTCCTTGGAAGCATTCTCTTCCTTTTCTTTAAGATCCACCTTTTCTTTCTGAAGGCTTTCCATTTCTTCTTTAGAAGCTCCCACATTACTCCTCAACTTAATAAGCTTTTGAAGATAATGATGCACCCGATCAATTATGAAACCAAGAAATAATGTAAAACCTACAAGATCAACTTAACTACATTAAGACAAGATAATCTAGTTTTAACATAGGAAACATATACACTGATTCTTCCCAAGATTGTTTATTCTTCATCCAGCAATAAACAAAAATAATATTTGGTCTATACTCTATACTGGTCTAATATCATGAAACAAAGTAGGACTTCACAACAAAAATATATTGTTTTCAATGCTAATTCATTCATTAATATTTAACGCATGTTTGGTTCAGTTTATTATGAAAAATACTTGCTTACTTTTATTGATTTTCTGAGAAATTTTTTGAAAAATAGGTGATCATTTCCCAAGATCTAAGCTGCTCCAACCAAGTATATATTTCTAAATCTATAAACGTACCTAATAACTTACCACGATTTTAAGATAAAGTAAAACATAAGACTAAACAAACTCTGATCAGAGCTGCTGAAATTCAAAAAATACTAAAAATTTACAAAAAAAGAAACATAAATGACCCAGCAATTTCATCGTCATAACAATCTAAATATATTTGTAAAACCTTCATCAACACAGTGTGCAGTGAAAGCATAAATCAATAATATTCTATTTTGATGTTCTTTTTCTCTTTCAATTATGTGTAACCCTCTTCTGTTCCGCATCATCTTTGAAAACACATAATTAATGGATATAATAAGGGAAAAAATTAGCTACCTAGGAGCTAATATGAGCAATTTAAATAAGAAAAATTGCAAAAAGTTTAAAGAGTATTCTGAAAGCTACATAAGGAAACAGTATAATTTTGGATGACAGGAACAAAAATTATGAACAATTAAGACCTTTGAGATGCACAAAACTAACTGATGATAACCTCTCAAACCCTTACTAAATTTTGGTTCGATTTCTCTTGTAATTAAACGTATTCATTAGCCTAACAGAAGTAAAGAAACACAACTACTTGCTCTATGGATACATCAAATGTTTTATGACAGAGCATTAAGAGTTGACAACAGCCAAACATGCCACCACTGCTACCAACTTCGAATTAACTATTTACCATGTTTATGACTCCCCCAACCACACGAAATAATCCATCAGGTCAAACAAACAATTGGCAAAACCACCCTGTTGATATTCAACCACTACATCAGAAACTAGCTTGAACATTCTCCACCAATACTAACATTAAAACTAATGGCATTTCTGCATCATCAAGCAAACAACCATGATAACACCACTGCTCTCTAGGGCACACTGCCACAACAGACTATACTAATATTCTGCAAATCAACATTACTGCTACCGTTGCTACTTGTTCAGTCAACTTTACCATATTTGTCATGACTATTACTATTACCAATGCTATTATTCCTATTGTCAGCTTCAACTTCGTTGCCCCAATTTGTCAATTTATTGATACATCTCACTCCTGTCTTGATTGATACATCTTACTATTATTACTACTGCCAATGCTATTATTAACATTGGAGGAGGCAATACCTACAGCCAGAAAAAGGCATAAATGAAAGAACAGGAAAGAAACCTTAATATGTAATCTAAGTCAAGAAAAATTGTAGTGAGAACAATAATGTATTAAAATTTATTAATAAAAATGTTTTTAATCTATCACCACTTGTTCTTGTAAGGTTCAAGTAATCCTAGAAGATCATTTGTTCCCAGGGAAATCTTGTGCGTACTAGAGACAAATCAAGCAACCTCCTTTAAGGAAAAAATTGTTGAACCCATGAGCCCGTGGGATCTCAAGCATGCCACTAGCACCCTAACCAGCAATCATAGAATAAGCTCTTTCTTTAAATCTACAACAATTTAACCAGTATAATCCTTGAAATATTTTGCCAACAAAAATAGATCCAATTCCTACTTTCACAAGTACTCATTCTTCTACGAGTCCAATCCTTGAAAACCACATCTTTTAGGAATTCAAACACCATCCCCTCCCCCAACAGTTAAATCTTGGTGTGAGTAAGTGTTGCGAATACAGTGGCCAACTAGTATTGATTCTAGTATATTTCAAACAGGCCTAGACTTTTAAAGAATGTTGGAAGTATGACGACAGAGACAGACACTGAACAAGAAGCTCAGAGACATTTAAAAGAAAAAGAACTCAAGTAATCTAGAGACAAGATATACTCTATATGTTGCACAAAATTAATGTGGACATGAATGAATGAATTACCACCAACGTAAATACTCCAATAACAACTTTAATCCAACAGCAAAATCTGCTAGTAATAGGATGATAAAATTAAAACCAGGAAGCACCATTCATAAGAAAGTAGCCATTAATATTGACTTAATATCTTGATTGACAATTAAAGATTAGGATCTTCTCTTATATCATCATCATGTAGGAGAGAGAAAGGAATTAAAATGGATTAAAAAAATCAGCATTTTTGTCTTTCTAAAATGATGTTTGTGCAATTTGCAAGGACACAAATAATAAAATTAAATGATGTGCAATATTACCTCAGCCAAAGCCCATATCATATTCAAGGCTACATACCATTTCAGCCAGTTTTTAATGCTTCCCATATTATACTTGCTATCTGTCCTTTGTTGTGAATCTTATTGATCTCTTAAAGAACAAAGAAGAATGATCATGTTGATTACTAGATTCATATTTGTTAAGATGTCTCACATTGGTTAGTAATAGAGCCAATATACTCCTTATAAGGGCTAGGGTAGTCCTCCTCCTATGAGCTAGCTCTTTTAAGAATGAGTTAGGTCTAAGTTTTTTAACATGGTATCAGAACCTATCCAGTTTGAATGTTGAGTTATCCACAGATGTCCAGTCCTGTTGGGTTCCACCCATGCAGATATTCAATTTAATGTTGGATTACCCACATATATCTAATCCTGTTGAGCTCCACCAGTGCAAATGTCGAGTCTTGGACGTGAAGAGAGTGCTAAAATGTCCCACATTGGTTAAAAATAGAGCCAATATACTCCTTATAAGGGCACATTAGTTAAGAATAGAGCCAATATACTCCTTATAAGGGCTAAGGTAGTCATCTTCCTATTAGCTAGCTTCTCCTATAAGCTAACTTTTAAGAGTGAGTTAGGCGCAAGTTTCTTAACAATATTCCGTTGTATCCAAATTCATGATAATCACATCTTAGAAGGTCTAAATTCAGTTGTATCCAAATTCTCCTTCAAACCAGTAATCAGTACATCAAGAAAACTGTTTACCCCATCTCCTATGAAGACATAATATACTTGCTGAAGGATAAAGAAGTATAAATAATACCAGAAATAGGACTAGTACTTTTGTAAATTCAATATTCTTCCCTGCCGATACAGAAACTCGAACTACTGGATAACAGAAAAAGGAGAAAGAAGATATAGGCTGACAACTTAAAAATGGATCTCTTCCTTATCTTTATATCCAGTTCAACATTTTTCTAAAATTGGGAAATACACGCAAAATTTTTCTATGCTGCAGTTATCATAGTATTGCAGTCAGTATATGAACCATTGTCATTCCATACAGAAGCTTGGATGATGTTTTATGTTCTATGATGCTCAGTCCTTTGTTGATGGTTCTTAATAACTAGACTAGGACATGACCCATGCTGTCGCAAGGGTAAATATGTCATATGTATAAGTTGTTTGTATTTTATACAAGCTAATAGATTATTTATATAGAATAAATATTATTGAAATGTAACATAATAGGTATGAATATGAATAAAATTCAAGTTTTACACATAACAATCATATAGGTAAAATTGAATAGAACTCTAAGAATCATGCAGATATTTAACATTAATTGCATAACATAAGTATAAAGTCAACAAATGATCAACATTAATAAGCGCACATAATAACAAATCAAATACACAAGCATATAGCATATAATGGTCCTAGATATAGAAAGCATTAAAAAATGAGTCCAAAACTAAGGGAAAATCTCAAAAACAGAATTGAATGAAAAAGGAAAATACTATATAAACCTAAAATTACAGGTAAGATGTAATCAAAGACTTAATAAACATGTCAAAGCAGAAAAGATTTGGCATCACATTTATTACAAAGGTCACCCTCTGGGCAATAGGTCCCTCGTATTCACCTATTCTTCATCAACCTCATCCACAGAATGAGCCTAGATAGTCACCAATGTCCCGAAGTCTCAGCGTCTAAGATGAAACTAAGAAAAACTAAAGTAGATTTGAATACGGAACTAGCTAAACATTGAGTTGAAAGAGAGCCAAGCATAATCTGAAAACTATATATGGCATAGTGGTATAGGCTGAAAGCACAATGGTGTTTAAAAGGTATATCAATCAACAACGGAACCTGCACAGCCACAATGTACTTAATTTTTTTAAAATTTTCACCAGGAAAGAAGTGAACTATTTTTTTGGTACAACTGTCATTAATTCATTCTGAAAGAAACTCAGGAAAGATCAAACAAGATTCTACCAAGAAAATTTCAAAAATTAGGTAATAAAGCAAGTTACAAACCCTATTTCTAGCTTTAAGGGAGAAGTAAAATGATCAGGAACATATTTTGCATGGATGAATCAAGTAAGGAATTCCAAACATATAATCCATTACAAATATGTCATTTACAGAGAATAAGTGAATGAAACATTAACCACCTACTCCCTACTATTTTTCAAACTAAATGGTGAATGTTACTGATAAGTCTGTGCTCAGTGCCAATATAAATAAAGTAATATTGATAAGTCTGATAGCAACTCCAGTAACTAATCAGTTCATATTAAGTTAATCATTTCATGACATACTGTAGAGAAATAATATTAATAACTTGCCAATATTGGTCACTACGCATCTCTCGGTTAATCATATCATTTGCATGACAAAAAGATTAATAATCATATTCCAAGTAGAAAGAATGAAGTCATGCATGATGCCTCATAACCATAATGAATAACTGTTATAAAGGCCTGCATGATCAGAATCAACTACAATCCAATCATAAAACATGGCAGCTTCATTAATACAAGCTATTATCTCTGTGTACATATAATGCACATGGAATGCCTTGAGCACCAAATAAGAAAATGAATTCGGAAAAAATAAGAATTAGTACTGTGCTGACTTGCAAGTCCAAAAACGGAACTTTTTGTGCCAATTTTTAATAGTCAATTACAAGTCAAGAGCATTCTTTTTTAATTTCTTTATTGAATGCCAGAGAACTATGAAAATAAGAGAAAGTTGGAGAAAATGTAAGAAACTCTCAAGAGAATCTTTAGAGAAATTCAATTGAGTAGAGTTTGAGAAATTTCAGAAGTGAAGTTTCTGATGCAGAGACTGAAATATATGAAATACCCAAAGCTTCAAACTGAAGCTGTATCTGCAGTTCGAGCTACTATAACTGAAAGCCTGTTGTAAGAGGCTAACTAACTACAATTTGACTATAAGGAATTGTTAGTGTTATGAACCTTTATGCTGAGGTGGCACATTTAGTTGCAATAGAATGATAATGTGCAGTATGGTGGTGGTCTTAGAGAGAGAATAAAAGGTAAAGAAGGTATAAGAATTGGGGGTGAAGAATTAAGTGGAATTTAGACTTCCCTCTATGTATCTTTCTCTCTTCCTCTTCTATGGTGTATTATTTCTTCCTTGAAATCATTTCTTCTGTTCATTGTTAGTCACTTTTATACTGAGTTAATCTCACTTGTTTGATTAATACAAGCACAGTTTATGTTATATCTCAGTAGTGGTTATTGACAACCATTACATAAAGTAACAGCTAATAGTAAACGGCAAGATAACAGTAACTGAAACTAACAGATTTCAAACTAAGGCAGTATAAACACAACTTACTAAATAGTCTCCAATATTCTTATTGACTTGTTAAATAAACTGTAAACATATCTATAATATTATCAAGGTTCAACCCCATAGCACCAAAAGTTCAATGTTCAGATGCCTTAATCATATGGTTATACAAATAAAATAACAAATTTGAGTGTTTGACCATTTCCTTCATCAACTTGACTCATAACTTTCGAGAAGGATACTATCAACATTAAATGGCAAAAACGATATGTACAAGCATGCTCTTTTTAGCCATATTTGGACACTATTGTATGACATTTTAGAATTCCAAGGTATCTAAAATGCAAGGAAATTCAATTACATCAATCTAATTCTTTTCATTTGCAAAATCTATTTATTTGGAAGGTTATTTGTGTGATCTAACAAGATGAGATGACCATAGTATTCCAGAAATTTCATTCCTAACAGTCAATGTCATGAAGAAGCTGCATAGCATCACATCACATAACATTTTCCTCTTCAAATTATCAAGCCATCATACAATCAAAAGAAATCAATTTTCAAACAGATTTGACTTGAACAACTGAGAAACCTCCACATTCTCTCATTTTGAACAGCAATAACCAGTTCAAAGCAGCATCTTATTAAAAACCTTACTGCCTTATTGATATACCCAATCTTCGCATAACCGTACATCATTCCAGCACCAAACAAAATACTGCTCAGGCATTAATACATACACCTTTTGGGCTTTGCCAAGTTTCAATTCTCAATCTTTCCTGCAAGAATCTAATTTCCAATGAAACAACTCTCTTTCTGAGGTTTCTTCAAACAGATCCCTTTCAAGATTTTGGGCTTTCTGCACCACAGTACCCGCCTACCCAGTTTTCATGGCAATGTACATGATAAAGCTTTGACAAGGCGTTGCATAGAAGAACCAGGATACTGAGGGAGAAGCAAATAGATAGAGCAGAGGAATTTTGGAATCCCAATTTTTTGGGCTGAATTTAAAATTTCTTACTTTTTAAGAGAAAAAAACACCCCAACAAATTCCTTACTGTTTTTCAAAACAAATTAGTTCATAATAAGAGATTTTAAATTACTTGAAAAGATTAGACCACCGTCTGAAACCGCTTTATCTAAACACAACCTATAAACATGCTTTCATTGCATGACTAAAAATAATAAAACAAAACCACAGATCTGCAACTCATTCAAACGCACTATTTTTTTCAGCAGGTAAACTACATTTCCAATTTAGAATTGAAATAAACGAGTGTCACCAAAAATGTACCAAACAACCATGAAATTTAAAAGACTTGACAAAGTGTCAACTATCAAGCAAAACATTCACAGCAGCAACATTTATACTCAACATTTCTAGTGCCAGTAAAATTAATTTTGCACTTACAGCCCCAGAACAAATAAAAATCACACACACATACATATATATATATATATATAGATATAGATATAAGAGGATGGAAGTGATCCAGAAGAAAGGAGTAGGAACATACCCATGAGAGAAGCCTCAAGCAAGTGGGTCCTCCACAGAACTTGATCCATGGGTGACATGGTTCCAAGCTTAGCACCTTTATTCTGGATCTTAACAATACTCATGAGACTTGAAAGGAGAATCACAGACATGGTACCAGCAATGGTTTTCACTGTAGCAGGACCCTTTCCCATCTTCAACTGATCCAGTGTCTTCATCACAAGATCTCTCAATGGCCCAATCTTCACTAACAAAAGGAATGTCATAACACCCTCAGCAAAGAGCACCAAAAACAACAACTGAATCATCCTTTTTCTTCCCCAAAATAAACAGATACCCACTTCAATTACAATTGCCAAAACCCCTCCTTTTTCCAAGAAATGGAAGCTAACCCAACAAATACACTTTCATTCTTTCATGAAGCAAAGTATCCAAAGCTACCCTTGTACTCGATCGCATAAAAACAAAAATGGAACCCTCCTCACAAATTCAAACACACACCATTTGTCATTTTGTTGAAACTGAAACAAGCAAAAAAATGTAAATGAAAATGCAACCAAAAATTTATAAAACTAAGGAAGAAGAAAAGTGTGGATCTTCACAGTTACAGGGAAAGCTTAAAACTTCTCTTCGCAAAACCTGAGCTTTCCTCTGCTAATGTTGATTAGTGTGAAGCAAAGCACTGTGTTAGCATAAAGTTGAAAGGCATAAGCTTTTCTTAAAGAAGCGCTTTAACCCTTTGTTTAGTGACTTGTGCTGCAGAAAATTAATATAAGGATTTCAGGTTTAGCCTATAGGATTAGTGAGTGGAGTAGATTTGCTTTATTTCAAGAAATTGAAACGTAAAGAAACGGTTGGGTGAGGCTGTCACGGTCAGAAGTGTAGTAGTATATTACAATTTACAAGAAAAGTGTTAAATGAACAATTAAATTATTTTAATTTTTCCCTTTGATATATAAGATTTTAATTTTTACATAACAAGTATATACCATGCTGTAAAAGATTTTTTTAATCAATAATACATAGAAGAATAAATGCATATTTTAATTTTTCAAATTATAAGAGTTGATTATTTAAATTTTTTAATTTAGTAAAAGTCTTACATTAGTTTTAAATTTTACATAACAATGTTTATTTTAATATTTTTTATATAAAACAATATAAAAAGTTATATTTTAAAAGACCAAAATAGTATTTACTCAATACTTTTAAAGTTGGATAAAACATAAAAAGTTGTCTATTACACTAAGTATAAAAGAGGTGGTGATTAATTTTTATAAAATAACAGTTTTTTAGTCTATAGGCGTAAAAGACGGGGTATCATGGTCTTGGGCTTTTGTCCAAAGTCAAGAGACACGCTATAGGTTTTTGTCTTATTTGTTTTCACCAATCGGTCGTGTTGGTGTGGTGCTATACAGATCAACTTTTTTTTTTTTTTTCTTAAGTCATAGACTATACAGTATTTCTAGGTTCAAGCAAATGATTAATTTTTATTTGTTGTTAATAGTTATCTTTGAGAAAAAAATTTATACACAATTTAGATATTATTTTGAAATCAACTATGTTTTGACCCGTAGAACGGTCGGATTATTTAATTTTATATGATTAATTTATAACAAATAAATATACTACTTAAGTGTAACGCATACACAATTTTAAATAGACACATTATTTTAGTAATTTACACATTGGTTTAAATAAGATTATGTTGTTAAAAAATTACAAATTTTATTTTTATCCTTTTTTAATTTAAATGATTTAGTCTCTCAAAAATTAACTTTATTATATCAACTTTATGTTATATTGTATAAGTTAAGTTGGATGTTAATATGTAGATACTAAAAAAAATAAAAAATTATTAATAAAAAGATTGTATTAAAAAAATTTAAAAAACTTTTTTAAAAAACTTATTTAAAAAAATTAAAAATAAAAAATTTATGGATTTTTTTTAAAAATCAAAACCTCATTTAAACTATTTATATTTTAATGCTTTTTATGTGAACTTATTTTTGTGTAACACAAATAACAATATAACTTAGATATAAATGCAATTTTATGTAAAAGTTTTATTTACATGATATAATTTTTTATTTATACATTGATACAATTTTCACCAGATTAATAATCATTAAAAATGGGGGAAATTTTTTCAAATTTTAACACAAATCAAGATTTAGTTTTAATAAGATCTATAATTTTGAGAACATCAACCTACCCATTATTAAAAGCAATCTCATTTTTATATTTCCATATAAATTTATAATAAACAGTCAAATGTGTCAAATCTTAATTTATTATTATTATTATTATTTATTTATTTATTGCTAAAGAAGGGGATAACACGCCCAACACACACAAAACTATATTATAGGTTTAGAAAAATCAGTCCCATAAGAATCAAAACTCAAAAAAGAGAGCATGGATAAGGGGAGATCAGAAAACTGATAATAGGGAGAAAGCAATTCTAAACCTAGTTTGACCAAAGAATCAACACAAGAATTCGCTTCTCTGCAAACATATGAGAACTTCATAGACCAAATAGCTTTCAAAGTATTTCTAATACTACGAATTAGCGGATAAAGTGGGTGAGAATCTAACTGCAACTTCAAGATAAGGTCAATAGCAGCCTTTGAATTTAATTTTATCCAAATAATGGGTGGATTAAGTTAAGCCACTAGTTGGATGCCAAAAAATAAACTCCAAAGCTCAGCAGCCATAGGAGAGCAAAATCCAATTCTACTGTAGAAACCCGTAATACATCTTCCTTGGGCATCCTGATCAACCCCTCACAGGCAGCAATTTCCGCAGCTCTAGAATTGGCTCCATCAACATTTAATTTTAGTTGATTAGTAGAAGGAGGAGTCCATCTCACAACACAATGGTACCTTAACTAATTAGGACAGTAGGAATACTTTTCCCTGCAACACAAGGCATAATAATCTGCATCAAACAAGGCTTTTACGACAACATTATCATGTTTGACAAACTTTTTATTAAAAATCAAATTATTTCTATCCTTCAATAAATACCAAATCATAATACTAAAAATAGACTTCCAATTTTGAAATCTATTATGATTAGAAAAAGAGAGGTTATTTACTAACCAGCTAGATAGCTCAAAACTAAAAAAAATTATCCAATGCTCAACGAAAATAAAATGACTCCACGCATCTTTAACATAAAAACAATCCCTTAAAATATGAAATACAGATTGTTGATTAACCCCACACCTACTACATAAAGAGAGTCTAACATTTTTCTTTTGAATCTTTCTTCATTAGTTAGTAATTTTCCATGAGTAGTTTTCCAAAAAAAAAATGTAATTTTGGGAGGACCCTCCTATCTCCGGACAAATTTAAACAAAGAATTAACAATTTTAACATTCTGCCTAATTTGGTTCAGCAATAAGTAAGTAGATTTAATAAAAAAGACCTCATTGCTGATCAAAAGCCAATACACTGAGTCCTGATCAGCATCTCTAGATGGAGGTTTAATCAAGTTAATGGACTAAGCGAGGGAACACAGAAGAGATTCTGCACTAGTCTCATTCCTCATTAAATGTAAAGAAAGTCACTAGAAGATGCATATCTTAATCTTTTTTATGTTACCAATTCAACATATTTATAAAAATGAGATTCTCCATTTAAGAATTGTTTGACAAAATTAATGGATAAGTTAACTGAAAGTTGAAAAATTACTTGGAAATTGAAAAATAAATGCTGAAAAATTAGTGATTGAATTAAATTTTTTTAGTAAAATTAGTTTATAAATATAAAATAATAAATAAGAACATAATAACTAAGTAGATAAAAATTTAAAATATAATAATTATATATTTGTTAAAAAATTAATTTTTTATATTTTGATTTATTCGAAATCATTTATAAACATTTTATTATAAGAAACATTTAATGACTTGGTCAAATTGTACTTAAGACATTAATTAATTATTATTTTCTAAAATAATAAAAGTTATGACATTTATTTATATTTATTATTTATGACATATTTTCTTCCTTTCAATAAACAAAAGTTTTAAGAAATTGAAGCAGTAAAGAATGAATTGATTCTAAAATAATAAGGACAAAAATATAAATATACTATCAATTAATAACTAAAAATATATATGTTAGTATGAATAGCATTAACGAAGAAAAGTCAATAACTACTAATCTTAACTCTTTATCAAATAGTTTTATTTTTATTAAATAAAATTTTTAATAAATAAAAATATTTTACCAAAGATGCTCTAACACTGACAAGAAAAAATTGAACAAAGAATAAAAGATTAGATTACACTTGAATTGACACGCAGCGCTAGAAAAATATATATAGATGTGTAGTATGCGTGTGAAACCTGTGATTCTGTGAACCAAATATTAATTATTCTTTCAACTATATATAAATTAAATTTTGATGTATTAGTAGCATAAAAAAATTACACTGACAATAAATTACACAGTATATATAATTTTAAAATTAATTATTCTAAAAGTTAATAATTTTAATTAATTTAATAATTCATAATTGGATGATGATATAAAATATTTTACACTATTACTATATTTTAACTAAATTTTTTTAAATATTATTATGCATTCATCTAAATTTTCCATCAATATGTTATTTATATATTCACTCGTAATTTAGATTTTTAATATATTTGTATATAGTGTTTGTATTCATTTGTTAATATTTATCACTTTTCGTATCATGTCAATATTTATCTTTATAAGTTAGTAGATATTAATACGGTTTTATGTAAACAGTTTCTTTTAAATTTGAAGTCAATATTTATTTACATGAATATTTAAACAATTTAAATCTTGTTTAAATTTTGAGAAAAATTAGTAATGTACTCAATAATACGCTCCTTTTAAAAAATATTAATTTTTAATTAAGACGCATGTAAGTTTCATTAATTATTAATGTACTATTAATATTAATATATTAGCATAAGTAACGTTTTACAAATTTCTTTTGCACAGCATGCTTTATGTCAGACTAATAAAAATTGTTCATTCAAAACATTTACGTTCTTTTGCACTCTTAAATGTCATAATAATCCACTACCATAAGTTTCTCTTAAATGTCATAATAATCCACTACCATGAGTTTCTCTAATCGATGTTCCATTTTCACATAAGAGTAAACAAGCACTACGACATAAACGAATTTTTAAAACGCTAACTTAGATAGTGATTAGTAGAAACTGTTCCATAACAATACATTTAGAGAGTGGTTAGCGCTGAATCGCTCTCAGCTCTGTACTTCTGAGAGCGATTTTCTCTTAACAGTTTTCTAAAGTTATACTTTAAAGAGCGGTTAGCGTTGAACTGCTCTCAGATCTATACTTCTAAGAGCGATTCTCTATTAATCGCTTTCTAAAGTCACTCTTGGAGAGCGGTTAACAGAAAACCATTTTCTAAAGTCTTTAATTTTATAAATAAAGCTCGCTCAACTCATGAATCTATTAGTTCTTCCTCTTGCAAGTTGGTCTCTTTTACTTTTGTAAGTTTTTTCGTCTCTTTTATGTATATAGGTTCTCTTCATATTCCATACTCTCTTTATCTCCTATGTGCTAATAAATTATTCTTTATTCATCATATCTACAAGTTCGTCTCTTTTATGTAGGTAGGTTCTCTTCGTTTTCTATGCTCTCTTCATCTCCTTTGTGCTAATAAATTGTTCTTTTTCCACATCTACAAGTACTTTTTTCACAGTTCTCTCTATTATTTCTTTCTTTCTTTTC